ATCACTACTAAATAATAATCACCAATATCAACACTTCGAAAACAAGTAAGTTATTCACTTGTGACCCGCAGCATGGCCGGATCGAGCTACCGTTATGTGATCATTTGCTACTAAGCAGTGCATTCGTGTTTTTATTTGAAACTTCTGTTAGAATATACTTTTCGTTACCAAGAAAATTAAAAAAATAAATGCATATTACATTAAAAATACTGAGTATTTTTTGTATCATGTGGAATTTTTTTTTGATTGACTGTAATTTTTCAACATTTCGTAACGCCTATTTTAGAACCAAAATAAGGCCTTATACTCTTTCCCGACACCTATTCAAGAGATTGTACGGTGTATTGTTTGTTTTGTGCATGTGTTGTGGACAAAAAATGACCACGCCCATTTAGTGATTGCAATATGTACGTAATAGAAACCGCACCCCGAACTTGAGCTTTTCATCCCAATTTTTAAATTGATACATTGTAATATAAACCGCGGTTTATAATAGGACTTTAACGGTACTGTTGACTTCTCCCTCCACTGGACACCAACTATTTAAGTTGATTTGCATACAAAGCAGAGCTTGCAACATGATAGCTATTCATAAAGGGTGTTTTTTTTACTTTTCATATAATACAGTAGTCACACAATGAGGCAGTTCATATTTGTCTCAGTGAATCATTCATTTTTGACAGACACCTGTACAAAATACTTGAACTAAAGCCAGCTAAATTTTTCTGTTATCTTGCATGTTTTATGAATCTATTCACATCTAAATGCAGCACTTTTTTTTGCAATGAGACATTTGTTTTTATTCTAAATATCTCAATTACTTTCAATAAAGCTGGAAATTATGTTCCTTAAAATAATTAAACAAATAAGGCACCAATGTTTTTGTAAGATATTTACATCTTTTAAGGACATTCGGTTGACTGATTCCCCACTGTTGGTTCAACCCCAAAACTTGTTTGTATTCAAAATTAATTATGACAATGCATATTTATATTGAAACAAACTATGATAAAGGGAATTATATTATATAACAAAGGGCAATGTCACCAGAGTTCAACTATGTTATATTACTTATATAGGTACTACATGTGGACCTTTTTCAGATTTGTTAATTTCGTGGTGATATCTTCAATTATCTAATTTTGATGATTATTTTTGTCATTTTTGGTGAAAAGTGATATTTTTGAATTCTTGTTGAAAACAGCAAGTCCAACTGCTTTGATCAGAGATCTCGCCAGCCCAACATGAGTGCTGGTAGGTCATGAATATTAATGAGCTATATGAATATTAATTAGCAATGAATATTAATAAGTTCGGTCGCAATGCAAATATTTTTCGAATTAAGACATTATGTTTCACAATTTAGAAGAGTTTGAATTTAAAAATTAAGTATATTGGAAATGCGAATGCTGCGGACTAAAAAACAGAAACAAATAAATTATTGTTGCAATATCAATGTCTATTGTGAAATTCGTATCATCAACTTCTAAAACGTATACAGTATATTCACAATAATGAACGAACAAATAAAACTTCTGAACTTTCAAAATTACAACGTGACATAACTTACTTCGCGATGTTATACAACGATTATAACCAATAATCCTTCTTACTCATGATGTCAAGCAAAAAATTTTACTTCGTTTTTTTGATATGAAATAAAAGTAAAATTTGACTTATCAGGAGTGGATATTTTTGATCACTCGATGCTTCGGTAAATAACACAGCCTGCTATGAGGTTTGTGACGTATTAGTTGAACGGCATGTGTCCTTTGATGGGTCAATAAATCCATTAAGCAATCAGAATGCTGCATGGTAATGCCCGTAGAATCCGAAGTTTTTCGAATGGTAGTGACCATAACAATTACATTGTAAAGTCGTAGCACGATGTGTTGACATCGATTTCAGTTGAAAACTGCATGATGGTTATCGAAAGAGGTGATTAGCAATTTTTAAAAGGTAAAATAGGTCTTGAAAGAAAAGTTTTTACATGATTCGCGATGATAACAGTTCAAATGTATTTTACCAAATCACGCAGTAAAGACGTCGATTTTTTTTTTGAGTAGCATAAACTGTCAGATCGTGAACTCCGCTTTGACCATGTTATATCGAGGTGAAATTGATTTTAAAAGAATTTTAGCTTTCAATCTAAAGACTGTGTCTATCGCAGAAAGTATTTACTTACAAACAAAGAGATACTAATTTCACCAAATTGATTAGTCGCTATGTTACGTGCGACTAGGTCTATTGTTTACAAATTATAGTACACGACTGGCAGGATGCGTGTCGGTTGGCACATAATTATGATAACAATCGGACAATAATCCTGGTCGGAAGCATTTATTGGTGGTCACTAATTATGAGTGCCGGTCGGGCTAACCACCGTCGACCAGCGTGGCAAGATCCCTGTTTGATGCTATACATATTTTCTAATGATATCTTCCGTCTTTAATTGAATTGTGCATTGCTAACAGCGGAGCTATCTCAGCCGACAGACTGCTTGTTATGACACCTTCTAACTGTCCACACGTTCTTTAAACATATAAAACAAATAGTCAAAATCAGCTATTCTGATCTTTTACATAAACTACACTAAAAGTAAATGTTAAATTCATTCCTGTATTGAATAAGAAGCATCAAGCAAAAACTATATGAACATTTTCAATAAATTAGACTATGTTAAACTTGACTTGTCTCCCAGATGCAAAATCATCTTTCTGCTAACAATGCCTACATATCTATTACCAGTACTTCATTTCATTCCATGTTTTTTGTTTTAATTGTGCCAGATCTTGAAAGACGTGATATTGATCCAAAAGAAAGGAATTATTTACGAGAAAAAGGAGTAGTCTCAGAGATTCAAGTAAATCTTGGTAAGAGATGTAGGGTTGTTATAAGTACATGTGATAGACCACTTTGTTTCATTATTACCGGTATGTCAGAGAACTCAGAGGATGTCACTATTATTTGAATTACAATAATGAAATATGTTACCTAATAGGATTAACAGCATTGAAGACAGATGAAGTTTTGGATTTAATGGCCAAGGATTATCCAGATAAATACAAGGATTATGCCTCTGTGTTACATGAACGAGAACGACAGAGTATTACAAATAAGCATAAAGAATATGAAGCAGTGAGTACAAAGCAAACATGTGATTTTTTTTTTTAATTCATAAACCTAATTCACATTATCTAATTCGCAAATATTTTTAAATTAATTTTAATGATAGAAAGAAGGTTGTATTTTCTACTGGTGGGATGCTTTGTGACCTTTTTCTGTGAAATCATGATTTCAGTCACCACTAAATGAATTCATTTAACTTTATCCCAAGAGTGACAAAGCTAATTAGCCCCCGCCGGATCTGCGATCCGGGGTGGGGGTATTAATTTGGGTCGTGTCTGTGCAATGTGTGTGCACATTTTCATGTTACCAGCTTTTTCTCACACATGTGTGATCCAATTCAGTTCAGAGTTGGTACAGAGACAG